TGGGGGTTGAGGGGAGGGTTTGGGTGGGAGGGGAGGGAGAAGGATTTGACATGTGAAACAAGCTTGTTCCTAATTATAACTAATAAAAATTAAAATATCAGAGACACCCTGTCTCGAAAAACCAAAAAATAATATTTTAAAATAATTTATAAAAATGACATACTAGTAAATATAATTTAGATGTGAATCTCAATATAGTTAATTTATACATAAAAATTAAAATATATTTAACGGATTAAGAGTCATGTCTGAAGAAAATATTTAATTTACCTTTGAGTTAAATTAAGTAATTCCTATTTATTTTCAGAGAACACTTTTAAGATTAATTTTTCTTTAAAATTACCTTCTTAAAATAATGAGACCAAAAGATTGTGCAGTATTAGGCAGATGTTTCGGTGAAGACACATAGTATTAGAGGGTGGGCTTGAAATTCAAGGGTTCAATTTCCCTTCAATATTAGATGAAAATATGCTGCATTTTTTAATTTGTATTCTTTAAACCATACTGGGATTTTTATAATTTAGGTACCTCAAAATTATTCCTTTACCAATATAGATAGCTAAGGAAGAATATTTTCTTACAATCTCTGACTCCTCCTTTTTTTTTTTAGAATTGAGGTGACTAGATTTGTATTTTAAATATGACCAAATGGAAGAGAAAAATAACATCTAATAGTTTGTATCAAGCTCTTTTTGATGGCAGTTCTCAGAAGTGATTTTAGGGCATCAGTTTCTGTAACCTGTATCTTACCAATGCATGTAAATATTTGTTCAATGTAAGCATATAATATTTGATATTTAGGTAAATACCCAAGATATTTTACTTATCCACTATTCATATTGATACTCTGAAACTACTTTCAGAGATGGGTTCTGAGTCCTACCAATAATATTTTGAATTATTGTGTAATTGTTGCAATAGCTTCATAAAATTAATTTACTTTCCATTTTACAGATAAATAACAGAGTAAAATGACTCGAAGAGGGTTCAACTAGAATTCTGGTTCCTACAAAATCATAGTTTCTTCAAACTAGTCCATATGAGTAATATGTTTGATTATTATTTGGAGACAATGGGAACCACTTCTATATTAATATTTATTTAGAGAGAGTTTTAATGTGATAATCACCTATTTTACAATATGACCAGACATATGAAAAGAAATGGTCTTGGTATTATGGCACACTAAGTAATGCTTATAATCAGGCATTAGACAAGGCATAGGCTGATGGATGTTATCATTAGAACTTTGACCCTCTTACCACATGAATTTTATTGTTCTGAAAAATCACAATGATTCTCAGTTGTCCTTTCTTTGTATCACTCCAACATGAGCATCCTTCTACCTGTTTGGTGAAGACTTGGCCTAAATGAGACATTTAAAACTTTACTTGTAATGGAGTAATGCATTAAGTGATGACATGCATAATTTTCACTGTGATCCAAATTAAATCACCATGTAATTAGGGAAATTGAGCCCCAAATGTCACCAACTGAATCCTCTAGTACTGTGAATGGGTTACAACTAATTGAGTTATTGGCTAAAGGAATCCCATGGGAATCCCCAAACAACCCAGATTACTTTCAAGACTATAGGCTGCTCTCTACAAACTGACAGCAAGGTCCCATTGCTGAAGCCAACACCTATACAACTCACTGACATGGAATATTGAGCAGGTGTCTACCTAGAAACTTCACCCCTTTAGGCTAGTGTTCTGGTCACCTAAAGTTACTATGCATGCTGCCAAAGGAGAAACTGAAACACAAACCCAGACACAAACACTTTTATCTACAATGGTGTCCTGCCTGTAAGATATACTAGAGCAATAATGGCGTAAAACTTGTGGGACTAACCAACAAATAATTGATCTGATGTACACTCCCGAGATGGAACCCATTTTCTACAATGCTTGAGTGACCAAGAACCTGAGACTAGATAGCCCAGGGACCTAGGGACCTGGGGTAAAACAAATACCTCTGTTGTCTAAAGATATGTAACAACAAAATGACTCTTAAGTCTTTTTGTTATATTTATAGATTAATGCCTTGCTCAGTGAGAGAACTTAGAACCCTTAGCTTTAAACAGGATGTCTCTGAAAAATCCCCTGCCTCATGGCTAAGGGAATCTCGAAGAAGAGGAAACAGAAAGAGTGTAAGAGCCACAGGGGATGAGGGACACCAAGGAAACAAGGCCTTCTAAACACAGCAGGACTGGTGTACAATTGAACTCACAGAGATTGAGACAACATGAACAGACCTGCATGGGTCTACACCAGATAACATTCTCAACTTGAAAGAAGTGGACACATGCTCCTATCCCTAACCCAGAAGCTTTCTCCAATTGATACCCACTTGCAAGTCAATGTTTAGTTTTCTCCAAGGGAGTTTCAATGGGGAAACAAACTACACTTACAGGTAAACTATATGTGCAGCAATAGATAGTCAATAGAAAACAAACTCAAGAGCATCTTTGGAGGGTCCTTGTTTCATCATGTCATGTCAGGACTTTTCCTTTATTTATTTATGTTTCAAACTTTAGCATTTTAACATTTCTTTTTTTAAGACATGGAATATTTTATTTAAAACCCATCAGTGAAATGGACAGCTTGGGTCTATGACAAGTGATTCGTATTTTAAACCATAAGTCAGTAACTGTATGAAAGCACACATTGCTGCACACAAATTAACTTATCAGACCACAACTTTCTTTGTTGGAACAGAATAAACTTCCCTGTAAAAGCATCACCTTTGTGACAATTAATTTACTATTCATTTCCTTCTTCCTCACCCTCTCCTTCAAGAGAATCCACACCCACCTCCCCCTAATCCTTCTCTAGGGCAGACATGTTCTCACGGGCCTCAGAGAACTCCCCCTCCTCCATACCCTCACCCACATACCAGTGCACAAAGGTATGCTTGGCATACATCAGATCAAACTTGTGATCTAGACGAGCCTAGGCCTCAGCAATGGCTATGGTGTTGCTCAGCAGGGGGAGGCTGGTATTTAATGCTAACTGTGAAGCCAGTGGGGCACCAGTCCACAAACTGGATAGTATGCTTGGTCTTGATGGTGGCAATAGCAGCATTGACATCTTTGGGAACCACATCCTCACGGTACAGCAGGCAGCAAGCCATGTATTTACCATGGTGAGGGTCACATTTCACCATCTGGTTGGCTGGCTCAAAGCAAGCATTGATGATCTCTGCTACAGAAAGATGCGTACGGTAGGCTTTCTCAGCAGAGATGACAGGGGCATATGTGGCCAGAGGGAAATGGATGTTAGGGTAGAGTACCAGGTTGGTCTGGAATTCTGTCAGGTCAACATTCAGGGCTCCATCAAATCTGAGGGAAGCAGTGATGGAAGACACAATTTGACCTATCAACCTATTTAGGTTAGTGTAGATTGGACGCTCAATGTCAAGGTTTCTACGACAGATGACATAGATGGCCTCGTTGTCTACCATGAAGGCACAATCAGCGTGCTCCAGGATGGTGTGGGTGGTGAGGTTGGGGTTGTAGGGCTCAAGCACAGCAGTGGAAACCTGGGGTGCTGGGTAGATGGAGAACTCCAGCTTGGACTTCTTTCCATAACCAAAGAGAGCCGCTCCATCAGCAGGGAGGTGAACCCAGAGCTAGAAAAGGGTGGATCTGGATAGGAGGGATGTGGGTAGGGACTGGGAGGAATAGAGGGGGGGAAACAATAATCAGGATATAGTCCATGAAAAAATTCTATTTCAATAAAAGAAAAAACAGAAAAGAATCATCCACATATTTCTTGAGATTAACGTTCCACAGCTGAATGCAAGAACCACTAAATCAGCCTCAGTG